TCTTGCCAATAATATACTTATTTTTTATTTTTTGTATATAAAATTTGAACATTGGGAGCAAATCAGCTGGAACTACTTTTGCTAGTCTATTTAATTTTATTGACTTAAAATTTTCTGCAAAAACCTAAATTATTAGGCTAAAATCTTTTTAGTTGAAATTGCAGTAAGTTGAAGTTTACAGTGAATTTGGTGGCGATAGAGTTCCGCTGTTGCTACCACATGATAACAAGAAGTTATCGCAAAATTAGATATGATAACAGAGACCTAACTCTTAAGCATTATTTCGGCACCTCATATGTTATTTCTAATTTGTTCAATCCAATTATCGATTATACTACCACATATCGATGTTTGCTCAGTCGAAAATTATATTAAAACCATGAAGAATTTTAATGAAGCAACAGAAAATGAGTTTATAGATATTAAACTAAGAGCTATAATATGATTTCATTGAGTGAAAAAAGTGTGAATGAAGTGATATCGAAAAGCTAGGTATATAAATATATGTCGGAAAGTTGAAGATCGATTGTTGAATTGTATGGCTAATACACGAGTCGACTTTCTGCAATATTAAATTCGAAAATTCTAAATAAAAGAAATTTTTTTGGAATGATGAGAACTTTTTGCGTTCGTTTTATTGCATCTTATTCGAAAGTCTAAGGTACGTAGCTCTATGAAGATTTACTAGCATAATATCTTATGACAGGTTCCTTTACATGTATGTGGATATATGTTTATAGATAAATTTTTTTTTATGTTTATGGTTTTATTTAAGTTTTGGGAATTCTTGAGGAAAAATTTGCTACAGAGATTTATGAAAGATAACGCGTGACAGATTTAAATGTTGTACTTTTCGTAAGTAAAATACTCGAAAATTCAATAGGTTTTTATTTTTTGGAAATAGTATGAGAAAGTTGAAAATAAGAAAAATTTGAAAAAGAAATGAAGTTTTTAATTTTTATGTGAAAAGAAAATGCATTACTTATGAAAGAATAGATAACGATAGCATTTAAAAATATATTTTTCAACCGGTATTAACTACTCAAAGGTTCTTGTCTTTTTGTCTAATTGTATCAAAACTAAGAAAAATTTAAATTAAATTATAATATTTTCTATAAATTATTTATTCTTTTGTACTTAGTTTGAATTGACTTGATAGAAGGAATGACTTGTTAATTATTAAATGAAATTTCTCAAACAACTTCAATTCATTAAAATATATTAAGTAATTTGTTTGCGAGAGTTCTTCCAAAGTGACTGTCAGATGATCTTAATTTTCGTTCGAATTCGAAACAAGGTTTCTGTATTATAAATAGACATTAGGCTATACATATATACAAAAAAGGTATAGCAGTAAAAGAAAAAAACGTAACGGTGCTACCAATATGGGAATAAGTCGAATATGTGCTTATATGATGATATATTGAAAAGTAAATGGTACTGCTTAAACAGCACTAAATATATATGCCTTATATTGTGATAATACATATAGTGTTATTATTTATTTGGACCACTTATGGGTAATTACAGAATGTTTATATTAAAGTTAAAGAATTTACTCATTAACAGACGCAATCGGAAAATTTTCTACAATTGCATAAGTTTTGTTACTATATGTAGTTAGTCTAAAAACTTTCATCGAATGGCAATTATAAATTGAAAACAAGACTTTTTGGCCGAATGGAATTTCAAAAGAAATTGTCTTGAGAGTTGTGGATTTAAAAAATTAATGAATTTATTTATGCTCCTAATTTTAATTGTTTAAAAATAAATCATTTCAAATCGCCAATGGGAGATTTTTTTATCATTTATCCATTATGTTATAACATTAGTTGACAATCAAAGCACATAATTTGTACTTTTTTCAGATTGGAAATTCACTAGCTCGAGTTTCCCTGGTGATCATTTTTTATTGGACCACACAACAGGCTTAATTAGATTGGTAGCTACACTGTTGTTAACAGTTCATCAACAATTTTAATTAAACCATATAACAGTCTTAAAGAAAACTATAAATGTAAACTTTGTTGTTTATTTTTTAATTAATATTTGAAATAAGGAAATAAAGGAATAGGGAACAGAAACAAAATGGGTGGAAAAAGTCAAGAAATTCAATCTAACTTTTGCTAGGAGCGAGAAATCTTACCACTTTAGTGGTATAGGGATATATATTCTGTTGAGCGTCATGTTTTTGTTAATTATGTCCTTAGAACCAATTTATTTGGATGGTTGTACCCACAACTACTGAAATTCAAGTAGTTTTGAGTAGTGGTTAAAAAAAATCAGAAGTTCTATTCCACTATTTTAATCCTTGGAACCGAAAAGTAATAGGTATGCAAATAGAAAAATCCTATTTTATGATAATTATAATGTATGTTGTATACAAAATATTATTTATTTCAACATTAGAGGATATCGACTTTGATATAATTTGAATGTGGATCTAGTTATATATAAAAGTTTGGATAAATTATTTATGGTGTTATCAGTGGAGACTTGGTTAAAAAAATTTTTAGTGGAAAAAACAGAAGAATTTAAATAATATTAGTAAAACTTAAGCTAGTAGTAACATTATTGGTCAAAATGTTGACAAGGATAATAGTAATAGTATTTTTTAAGAGCTAAATTAGTGGAAATAAAGTGGAACTTATTTGAATTTTTAGTGAAGCTTTAGTGCCAAATATTGAACATTTATTTATCTGAAATATGTATTGTAAAACTAACTCTACTATTACTAACAGTAATTGTTTTATTAATTGCTATTACATTTTAAGGGTGAAATAGTAAGTGTTGTGATTCAAGAAACAGAAATAAAGAGGTAAATGAATCCATTGAAATTGAGTTTACCAACTGATACTTTGTTTGGAGTTAAAGATAAACACAACAACTAAAATAAATTCTCTTTTCTAGATTGAACAGTTTCAGACACAAAAAAACTAATATTTTTCTTTATGAATTGTATACTGGTTTAGGTATCTACATAATATATCTAAATATATCTAGAAAAAAGCTGCTTATTAGTAATGAATTTGTTAGGATCTACAAATGTAGTAGTACTGAAATGTTACTTGCACTAGTAGAAACTGTAATTTTTTAACCTAGTTAACGAACTTTGCTAAAGTTGATTCCCAAACGGCAACCGTTTACATTATCGGTTTGGATTAACATTTTGACAATTGTTGCTGTTTTTAATGTATTGATGAACAATCAGCTGGATATGTTATTATGAAAACCTGGGTTTATAAATAAATATTGAAAAATTTATTAAAATTTCTAAATTTCATAATATTTATTTAATTTTTGATGCGTATTTTTTCAAATTACACGCAAAAAAAATTGGCAAATAAAAATCTGTCATTTCGCCATTTATGTATTTAAAACTTATCAATAACGTAGTATTTTCAGCACTGAGTTTCAAAAAAGGTATTAAATTAACATAAGCTAACTTTCAGTAAAAGTTTAAACTTTGTTATGCCTATTTTTATATGACAAACTCAGCTTTGGTAACTGCAAAGTTCTTAATGTAAACCCTTTATAACAATTAACAAAAGTTAAGTTGTAGTGTTAAGCTAATACCAGTGGACATTATTATAGTAAATAAGGCTCTGATGGATGTTTCTATAAAAATTAAGGAATCAGTTATCTTAGCTGAAGTATATTTATAGGTCAGACACAGAAAAAGTTTAAGTAAAATTCGTTTTGGGGAACTTTACATTACTGATTTGTCTAATACTTTCCGGTTCAGGTTATATCTAATGGGTCACCATGGGCTACGTTACCACCTCAACAAAATGAGCCTATCCGAAGAGATAGATTGTAGACTCTTCTTGGAGGCAGAGGAGACAACCAGCCACATTCTATGTAACTGCCCAGTTTTGATCTGGGCCAGGCGGAGATCACTGGGTCGGAAATTGCTACCACCTTCCGACATTAAGAGGTCCTCAACAACCGACATTTTGGCCTTCATTCGAAAGGCGGAATGTCTTTTGTTCAGTTAGGCTCTGTTGTAGCACAAAAGATCAATCATGGGCGCGGTGCTCTGCTCAAATGGGAGATAGTACCCTGTTCTTTCTTATTCTTATTAATCCGGTTCAGGTTAAAGGAAAAGTTAAAAAACTAGAACAACTTCAGTACTGGTTTTTATTCAAATTTAATTCATGTTTTTGATTTTTAAGTACAAAAGAATAAATTTTTTTAAACTGCACACTTTTAAGAAAAATTGCTCTCAAAGAAAATGTAGAAAAAAAGTTAAAACTCATGACAAAAATTTTAAATAACAACTTTTCAAATAGTCTCTTTGACACACAACGATACGCTGCTAATAATAATAATAATAATAATAATAATGTAAGCAAAGAAATAAAATAGAATTATAAAAAAATAATGAAATCATCAAAAGCAAAAATATAGTAGAATTAACATATTTGAAAGTGGAGTTTAGTTGTTACGTTTAAGTTACAATAAGTTATTAATTATATTTGTATATTGTAGTAATAGAAGTGGTAGTAGAGAGTAGAATAGTAGCAGTTATAGTTGTAAAAGATAGTAGTAGTAATAGTAATATTTAGAGTTGTAGCAATTATTATAGTAATAGTAGTGGTAGTAGTAGTAAAAGTAGTAGTAGTAGTAATAGTATTAGTAGTAGTAATAGTAGTAGTATTAGTAGTAATAGTAGTAGTAGTAATAGTAATAGTAGTAGTAGTAGTAGTAGTAGTAGTAGTAGTAGTAAAAGTAAAAGTAGTAGTAGAAGTGTTTAAAGAGTAATAGACAAAAAACATTTAAAAATATTTATGGTACTTTTAGTTTTTGTTTGGTTTTATAAGGTTTATGTTTAAATATTTTTAGTTTAATGATTTTAGTAATAAAATAACAACAATAATAAATTGTAATAGTTTTTTTGTTTTTGTATTAGTATTAATTTGAATATTGCATTTTTGTATTTGTTAAATAATTTTTAAAAAGTTTTTGTTTTTTGTTTTTTTTTTAAATGCAATCGCTACCTAACAAGGGGATTGCATCAGATACTTGGGGCAATGTCTCAGCTACAAGGTTGAGAAACACTGTGAGCGATAGAAGAATTGTAACTCCTGAAACAAAAAAAGATTTTTTAAAGAAAGAAAAAATAGAAAACAATAAAGTAATATATGGTTGAAGTTGTTAAATTGTTTTTTTTTTTGATATATTGAATTAATAATTTAAAAGATTGGTTTTTATAGTTAAATTGATTTTGTTTGTTTTTTTGTATAACCTTTGTTGCTGCTTATAGAACATGATATATAGTTAATATAATATATAACCTATACATATATGTGAGTATCTAATGTATATATATAAATTGAATTGTATATATTTACATATATTGCACATATATGTATTTTGTATGATAATGATAATGATATATGAAAATTGTATCTTTTTATGTTGTCTTTGTAAATTTTAATCAAACTTTTTTATACAAAATATTCTGATATTAAGCAACAAATTTCTACTTTTGCTTTTAAATTCATTTAGTTTTAATTTAGTTAAGCTGCTGTTAAATAAGTTTAGTCTTATGGTTTAAGTTATAATGCATACGTTACGTGTAGAACTATTAAATAAAAATTAAAGTAAAATTATAATAAAAAGTATGATCATGATAAATATATTATGATAAATACATTGGAAAGCTTTTTAAAAGTTAAATTTAAAAATTAATTTTTTAAGTGTTGAGGAATAAAAATTTCTCTAAATCCTACTTTCTGTAAAACAACCATTAAAAATAATACAATAAATTTTTTTATTAAATAATTTTTAAATTAGATCTATTTTTTTGGACTTTTTATTTTGTAAGGTCTGTACAAGTTAGGTTTTAATCATGAACGTAGACGTGAATCTGGAAAAGGTCTGTCAATTTTTTCGTTATTATTTTAAAATTATAATACAGTTTTTCGGTTAACTTATTGTATTTAAATATGTTTAATTAAAAAAACTTGTAGTGACAGTTATTTCGAATTTGGTAAAAATATTTTAAATACTGTAGACCGCTGCTAGTCCAAATCTCCGGTAATTCGGATTCCTTCGTTATCCTGGCAAAATTAGAAAATGCCGAATCTGCATTATGTACCATGTAGTTCGGATCGATGGATTATATGCATGGTCACATATATATTTTATTTATCTAGATGTGGTATTTGATATATGCTTATTAGCTTTATTACCTATATATCATATAGCAAGCAAAATTGTCATTAAACTAAAGAGCAAAAAATTATTGTGCAGTTTTTATTTAGTTTCTGTTGTTAAAATAGATATATAAACACAGAAAGGCATTGTTTAAATAGATTATTTATTTGACTGTCGTAAACTAAATGTCTTGATAATCAAAGAATATCTTAATATTTTTTTAATTCTGATTTTTAATTCAGATCGGCTAGAAATATAGCATGAACATAACTCATTTCATAATCATAATGATATTATATATCAAAAATCCAGTTTTCGTTGCTAGGTAAGGTTTAATTAAGTATGTCAAAAAGATTCCCTGACTAAAAAACTGAAAACTAATATATACAAAAAATGACAAAATTTTCGTCTACTGTTTTCTTGTTATCCTATTCTTTGAAGCGAGTTACCAATCATTTACTCTTACTGAACCTTCTCTTAAAGTAAGCTTCTCTTTGGTTTTACGCACACATTCTCTTCGCGTTTTCTGTATCATAACATTTCGTTATATTTTTGAATATATAAATTATAAATTATAAATTTTGGCACTTATACCGATTTTAATAGAAACATTATTCAGACGTTAAGTGAAAATTAACGTTATTTGAATTTCAAAAATTGTGAAAGCAAACAATTAAGACAGAGATAAAGATTAATAAGACCTAATAGTGTGAAGGGATATTAAATGGTCATAAATATTTGATTATAAAAGGTTTTATGGACTAAAACATACACCTGGAGAATGTTTTTGATATGAATTTAATTTTTTTCACATTAGGGAGCCCTGCCCCTTATGAACTGTTATTGCCAGTCCACGCTATATTTCACTATTTTACAGTCAGGCATTTTCAAAGACGAGACCTTTTTTTTATAGCGAAATTTTCTCTAAAATTTCAAGATTATAATGATTTTTTTTCTTTGTACTGTTGTCATGTTATTTGCATAACAGTCGTGATTATTGCTATTTGCACTCTGCTCAAGCCTCCAAATCTTTTTTGTGAAGTAAAAGCATTAAATTTTATATATGAGATAAATGCTGAAACTGTTATGAATATTTTAAGCTATATAGCCTCGAGGTGACTAAATTAGTTTAGCTGCTATAGTCAATAATGTGCAAAATGTTAAATTTCTCGGGTTTTAGTCCCATTAAAACCCACTTAGCCCATTATATACTGAAAAAATGTTTGTTTTTAATTGATTTTGAAAACGGTTTTAATACAAACATTTGTATGGCAAGTATAAAACTTAAATAAAAATTTCAAAAGTTATAATCAATTTCTCGTATTTGCAGAAAATAGTGGTTCTTATGAACAAATTAAGCGCAAATAAAAAAATCTTTTTTTTCAAATATATTTAATGGAATTTAATGTAGTATTCATGGACTATTTTGAAGCTGTTATGGTTAATCAATATACACCACGGACTCCTGACGGTGGGTAACCAACCTATAGGATTGCATTTACAAGATGGTCTGTAGAGAAAACCATATTTAAAGTGGCATCGCCAATTAAATCAGTTCCACGAAGTTATGCGTTTGCTCTACCAACTCTTCCAAATATACAGAAAACAATTGTGAATATGAAAATACCAGTATTTTTGAAATTATAACTGAGTAATCTGCGAGTGAAATCACAAAATATATTATTTCAAAAATTTAATTAAACGATCTAATGAGCAACTCACATTTATCAAAATCTAATAATGATTTAAGGTAAGCTCAAGTCTTTAACAGTGGATCTGCATAAGTGATTTCATAAAAGTAATTGAATGTCATAATAATGCATATTCATATTTTTTAAAAATATTCCGTTAAACTGTGTATTGTAGTGACAATACCTAACATGAACTTAATGATATAGGCTTAATATAATAAATAGCGCTAGAAGTCTAGAAGCTGCTCTTGTTCACAATGGCAATAAACTCGCCATTATATCATTAGTGCAAATTTTTGAGTTGTAAGAAGCCTATAATGATGGTTATCAGTTATTTGTTTAATGAAAGAGATTCAAGTTTAGAAAAATCTTTTATTTTTAATTAACAATTCCAAAGTTATTGGGGCAACTATGCCTCAAAAAATGTGTTTCTTGCACTATAATTTGAACTTTTTTCCTTCAAATCTCGGCACAGAAAGTGATGAGCAATAGATATAGGGTCCCACCAGATAACTCTGCAATGGAAGAAATATTTTAAGTGAATTCTGATGCAAGCATGTTGGGAGATAATTGTTGAGCAATTAGAAGAGAAACGAATCTACTACACTAGAGGAATGTGCTGAAAGGAAACATAATATTTAAATTCATTTATATGTAAATTTGGGTTTTAATGTAAAATGCATTATTTTATACTTCTTCCCTTTGTATTTCTTCCCTTTAAATTCGAAAAAAAGCATTTCTCTATGTTAGTGTGACTAATTTATAGAAACCACTATTTTGTGCAAATGCGAATAATTGAATAGAACCAAAATGTTTGTATTAAAACAGTTTTTAATTACAAAAAAAAAAATTTTTCTGTATTTAATGGATGTCCCATCGCACTGACAATGGGCTTCATCTGTACGTTTTTGACTATAGCAACTAAACTAATTAAGTTACCTCGACGCCATGTGGCTTGAAATATTCGTACTAGCTTTAGCTTATATCTGATAAATAGTATTGTGTACATTTACTCTCTAAAGTTTTGGGGCTTTTCGAAAAAAAACCAAAGAAAAAAATATTCTTCACAAATAACGTCATTATAGTTTTTGAACTTTATTAAAAATTTATCTATATACGTAGATCTCATAATTCAGAATTTATGACATTAAACTCTAACTAATTAAGGACGTACACAACACAACAACTGATTAATAATAATAATTATTTAATTAATAACTAAAGATTAAAACAATCTGATTACAGACTTATTTTATTCTATATTAAATTCAACTTAAGCCCTTATTCATACTAATTAAGGATGTACACAATGAGTTAAGTCAATTAGTTGGATTCAGTTTTGTGGATTTGAGTTCCAGTTGTTATTAACAAATTTGAGCTGTTTTGAAACATTCCGAAGAGTAAATAAAGTTATATAGTTATCAACAACTAATGTAAAGTGTTTCCTTTTGGCGTTTGTTGACAATCCAGAGATACGAACGGGAGTAGAATAATTATAGAAGGGAAAATTCGTAACAAAGTAATACACTTTTCCACAGCCTCATCGGTTTGAAAGGTGATATTCTTTTGATAATAGTTAAATATACTTCACGTACTTTTGTCTAGAAAAGATGAAGAATATCTTGTAATTTAGTTGCTGTCTCAATAAAAAATTGGTAACATTATTTTTTAATACTAAATTTTTTTAAATAATTTTTAATTTTGATGAGTTCTAAATTTTATAACATAAAATGAATACTGAGGCTATTTATAGTAAAAAAAAATTTCAATGCGTTTTCACAACACTTAAAATAAACTCTTCAACTTTTAAAAAGCTTTCGATATACGGCGCGCACACTTCCTTCCAACTTGATATGTTTGAAAAAGGATTTTGAAAGGAATACAGAGGACAAATGACTTGATTTTTAAAAAATAATTATATTAAAATAATAAAACAAATATATTTGCAAACACGCGACTTAGTTTCGTATTTTATAAAATTGTAGTTGCTTCATACAAAACGAATTTGCTTTATATATTTTGTTTAAGAACATTTATATTGAATCAAATGTTAATTTCACATCTATTATAGGAAACACAATTTTTTTTCACAACACATATTTAATATTAATAAATTTCAAATATTACTTTAAAAACATTTGTCAAGCATTTGGTCACTCATACGCCACGTTGTCCCATCCGTATACATTCATTAATTCATATCCAAACTTTGCATTTAAAATATTCTTTCATAA